TCGTCGAGTCGAACACGTTCGTCGAGTCGAACACGTTCGTCGAGTCGAACACGATCGTCGAGTCGGACACGATCGTCGAGTCGAACACGATCGTCCAGTCGAACATGATCGTCGAGTGCCCTGTCGAGTCGAACACGTTCGTCCAACACGTTGAGTCGAACACGGTCGTCGAGTCGAACACGATCGTCGAGTTGAACACGATCGTCGAGTCGAACACGTTCGTCGAGTCGAACACGTTTGTCGAGTCGAACACGATCGTCGAGTCGAACACGACCGTCGAGTCGAACACGATCGTCCACTGCGTTTGTCGAGTCGAACACGTTCGTCGAGTGCCCTGTCGTCGAGTCGAACACGATCGTCGAGTCTAGCACGATAGACGAGTCGAACACGATAGTCGAACACGATCGTCGAGTCTAGCATGATAGTCGAGGCGAACACGATAGTCGAGTCGAACACGATCGTCGAGTCGGACACGATCGTCGAGTCGGACACGATCGTCGAATCGAATACGATCGTCGAGTCGAACACGATCGTCGAGTCGGACACGATTGTCGAGTCGGACACGAWYGTCGAATCGAACACGATCGTCGTGTCGAACACGATAGGCGAGTGCCCTGTCGTTGAGTCGAACACGATCCTTCCCTGTCCTCTAGTGGAACGAGAATGTGCGCGGTGCAATGTCATCGAATCGTTCATGATTGTGTGCAATGTTATGGACCGTGCATGGGCGTGGATTGCGCTCATAGATTCTGTGCATTGTGCTGTCGTGCGGCCTGGTTTGTTCCATTGTTGGTGGGAGCGGGGTGAAAGTTTTATGCTGCTGTTGGTTGTTCTATTGCTGCTGTTGACCGTTGCCCTTGTGCCGTGCAGGTCGTCTTCTCTTCACTGTTGCTATGGAGATCTCTAATATGACCCCAGCACTTTGCCGTGCACGCAAGGCACACCCTTTCCCACCTTGCGCGCTGTACGTCCGACAATGTCAGGGTAGCGTAACCTATGAAGGCGCTTGTCCAGAAGACTTCGAATGCGACCCTTGGATGAGAATCCTCCCGTTTGGCGACAAACATTTGGACTCGTGGGAGGAGTCCGAGTGGGTGAACATGATGGAGAGATGCCCGTGGGCGTGCAATTATGAGTTCGCGAATATGTCCGAATTCGGCAAACACATTCCCGTGTCGTTCGATGTGCTGCGTCCCGTGCGCTCGCCGCTACTGTATAAAAAACTAAAAATAAGCCGTGTTGTGGGGGTTTTGGACTGCGAATACGTGACAACCTCGCCTCACACCTGGTGTCGTGTTATGAAATAGGAGTTACTCGATTGTGCGCGACATTCTCAGTTCATCAATCATTATCTGTTGCGATCTCCCGGTCTGTCGCCAGGAGCAGTTTCGTATTGTTGTGTGAGATTGCGTCTGGCATACTTTATCTTCTGTAGGGTCCTTTGTATTGCCGTTTCAAGCAGGGCTAGAAACTTGACCGATGTTGTCGTGTATGTGTCCAGGAACGAGTTGTCTATGTCAGGGAGGGATATGTGTTTAGTTCAAAGAAGGGTAGATGGGAGACTGTATATCGTGGTGGGTGGCCAGGTGGAGGACATTGTCGCATGGCGCGAGGTCGAGGCTAAAGTCGTTTCAATTCGGGATGCTATAGGCGCTTCTCTCGTCGGGAAATCCGGGTTCGTGCGAATGACATACATTTCGGTGTTTGCTGAGACGGCGCGGCAGCTGACCTTGGGATCGCCAATTACCGTGATGAATGGCCGCAACGACAAGATTGTTTCCCGTAGTCGGTAGATAGCCTTCGTCATACTGGATGGCCAAAATGGCATACTGAATGGCCGAAATGGCCGCAAAGGCGAGATTGTTTCCTGTAGTCGATAGACAGCCTCGTGGAATTCGCATTGCGATTGCTGTTCTCAATGTGTTATTTCGATAACAATACGCGGTATCTGCTGGTTGTTCTCGATTGCTGTTCTCAATGTGCTATTCGATAACAACACGCCGTATCTGCTAGTTGTTCTCGTCATGTGTTCAGTGGCCAAAAGTACACACGTTTGACGTTGTTGTCCTGATATTGTTTTCGATTGATTGAAACCCGGGAATGATGACGTGTTCTTGGACACCGAAACATCGCTGCCAGCCTAGTGTTTGATTGTTGTTCTCATGTTGTGTTTCCTTTCGGGAAACAAAAACTCATTGTTCTGATGTTTTGCGTGCATAAACATTCAGCAGTCAATGTTTCTCCGTGTTAGCCAGTGCCTACGATCTGTTGTCTTGTGTTCTCGTGATCAAGTGCCCCTTTAGGCACCGTCCGCCGAGCATTGTGTTGAACCCGGCAAATGTCGCACAACACACCCCAGTGTCGCTGTCGTGTTCGACACGATGGTCGCCAAACGGTGCCCGAAGGGGCACTTGGGCACTTGGTCGACTGTCGAACGGCGGACGACACTGTCGCTGTTGTGTCGAACACGACGGTCAGCTCCACTACAGGCACCGTTTGGCGACCACCGTGTCGAACATCACATGGACACTGTTATCTGGCGACCAGACGGTGCATGAAGGGCCGTTTGGTCGACTGTCGAACGACAGACAACAGTGTAGCTGTCGTGTCCGACACGACGGTTGGTCAGCCCGCGCAGTGCCGTCGGGTTCGACACGACAGTGACACGACGACACCCCAATGTCGCTCTCGTGTCGGATTCGAGACGGTGCCCGAAGGGGCACTTGGTCGACTGTCGAASGGCGGACGACAGTGTCGCTGTCGTGTCGAACACGACGGTCAGCTCCCCTACAGGCACCGTTTGGCGACCATCGTGTCGAACACGACATGGACACTGTTATCTGTCGACCAAACGGTGCATGAAGGGCCGCTTCGTGGACTGTCGCGCGGCAGACAACAGTGTAGCTGTCGTGTCCAACACGACGGTTGGTCAGCCCGCGCAGTGCCGTCGGGTTCGACACGACAGTGACACGACGACACCTCAATGTCGCTCTCGTGTCGGATTCGACGGTACTGGAGGACATCGTGGCACGGCCGTCGAGTTCGACACGACAGTGAAACGACGACGAGCTGGCGGGCTGCGGCCCGCTTCAGTTGCTCTGTGTTCCTGTCTACTCTTGTTCTCAAGTGTTGTGGTGTTTGCACGTTGGCAAAGCAATGACTGCTTTCTCGCTTGTGCGTTTTCTTCAGTTGCGACTAGCTGCTCGGCATGGATCGGGAGGGGAAGCCAAGCAAACGACGTACTAGTGCTGATTCCGGGAGCATGGAGCAGTCTCCGAAAAAACCAAAGGGGACACCGACGGCTGGCGTGGGGGCTGGCGACACACCGAGGTCTAAGGGCCACCGAACCCCGGTGCTGTGGGGTGCACCTTCTACGGGCACTCCTTCCGCCCATGTTCAAGGTTCGGGACTGGATTCGGCTGTGTTGATGAGTGGTGGGGCTGCGGGTCGAGAAGAGGAGGCTACTGGTCGGCAGGGGAAATCTGCGATGGACGTTGTGCCGAGGCGTAAAAGGTCCGGTGACACGTCCGCTGCAGGTGTGGGAGACGAGGTGTCTGTCGTCGACCACAAAGACAAGTGTTGGATGTTGGACTGGGTGGGTGGAATAGGGGAACCCTCGAGTGGGCTGGTTTTGTACGTGGTGATCAAACATAACATTGTCCCGATTGGCGGTGTGGTGAAGTGGAGTGGAGGAAATTCACAGTTCGCCATGTTGGAGTTGACGATGGTCCTTAACGCTAGAGGTGAGCGGATTGCGAATGTCAAACGCGTTGCTCTTCGTTGGGCCAAACACGCTGGGTATGGCAAAAGGCTTTATGACATTTTCAATCCACCTGGGACGGAGAAATTGACGTTGCCGGACCTTCGATTGGTTTTCGCATTCTTCGACATACATGTGGTCGCAGGGCATGAGCCGGTGGTGCATGCTTCCGACCGCATATCTGAACCGAAAAGCGTGCTTTCGTCGTCTTTGGAGGCGGGTCCGTCGTCGAAACCAATCATTATAGGTGTCCGCCCTCCGCCATCAATTCGGACTACGGTTGCTGCAACACGAGTTCCGAAATCAGGGCAGATCGGGGAGAAAGGTCCGTGTCGCGGCCAAATCGTTCCGTCAGCCCCTGTGAAGCGTAGACCAACATCAACCAAGGAACCCGTTTCCTTGGTCCGCCCGCCGCGCTACGAGTTGGCCATTCCTGCTGGGTCGCATTATTTTGGAGATGACGACGAGGAGAACGGCGAAGAAGAATGGGAGCGCGATGAAGAACGCGAAGAATGTGAGGAGGGTGGCGAAGAAGAAGTAAAGAGTGAACAAACAATCAGCGAGAGGGGTGGGCCGGGCGAGTTGGAGGGTCGTCTAGGGGTTGAGTATGAGGACGAAGGGCAAGAAGAGGAAACGACCGGCGAGGGAGGGTATGCAGATGTGCATCGGGGTTCCAAACGAACGCAGCTGCTCGCGCCGGGTCATGGGCATTGGGAAGCGGATCCAGGGCATAGGGAAATGCACCGCGAAGTTGGGGTCGGGCCGGCGCATGACGATGCAGTACGACTAGCTGAGAAGAAAAGGAAGATGAGGCAAGAGAGGAGAAGTGCTATGGACAGTAAGAAAACCAAGCAGGAAGGGGGAGCCAAACAAGAGGAGGGCAAACGCAAGTTGAAAATGCTGGCAGTTGAGGAGGTCGTCCAACGTACGCGGGAGGCTGAGGAGGCCATGAAGAAAAAACGACAGCCAAGGAAAAAAACAGCGAAGGGAGGTGTGATGGAAAAAACTTCCGTTTTTCCACCGGACCAGCCGCAGTCGGATGAAGACGCTGTGGGCAAGACAGTCACCAGACCGCCCGGTTTGCAGATTCTGCCGCATGGGAATTCTTCTGGTCGTCTGAGCAAAGGCTTCTTCCTTGAGTTCGACGAGAATGGTAACCAGAGGTCGGAAATGCAGTTCATTTCTGTCAAGTTTGACAGGATTCTGGATATCCCTAATGAGGAATTCAGATATAATCAACGCTTCCTCGATCAGGAGCTTATTGATGACCTTTACAAAACAATGGTTGAGTCGGGTGAGGCAGCTATCAGAGAGAGAACGACCGGGCAGCCGGGGTGAATGTATGTGCATTGTACGAGAAGTCTGTCCTTCTGTTGATTGGGCTACATGATACAATGCATACTAACGCTTCCGGTACGAATGTGAGGGCGAGAAGAGTGACGCCCCCCGAATTCGATCTTCAATCCGTGCGCAAGTACTACTGGTACCCTCTCAGTGGTCAACACAATGTTGCAGCGGCGAGGAAATGTTCTCAAGAACGCCCTGACATCGCCCGTGAGCTCCGTTTGGATTGYTGRACTGCAAGGCCTGTTTACTATCCGRATARGAGCATGRAAAATTACTGCACCTTGAGCACTTTCCAAAATGCGAAGGACAAATGGAATACTCCTCCGCACCAGATTGCTATCATTAAGAACATACGAAAGTTGTGGCAAGCAGCCGGTCGTCCAGAAGCTATAGGCGGATCTACTGCAAACGTCAAAAATAAGGATTACAGGGAGTTTGCGGCGATGGCTCTGTGTGTGACCGAGAGTGATCATTTGGTTACTCTTTCACTTCAGCCTTGGAGCAAGGAGTGGTCCGACGTCCTCGGGCCTTACATGATATTGGCAAGGGCGACGGACGCAACAAATGTATTCTACTTGGGAGAGTGGACAGTTGTTGGGGAGAGATGGTATGAAGCCTGCCACCAAACAAGGTGAATCAGGGAAAGCGCCGAGACCTGGCCTCAGATTCGAGTTGGAAAAAGGAGTCAGGGTTCCAATGCACTGGATTCAGGGTACTAGAGGACCTGGTTACCTCGTGGTTGTGCGCGATCCGGATGTCAGATCAAGGAAGGCTATGTCTACGTTGGGGAGGCGTGAGAGGCTGCAGTTGTTGAGAGACATTCTCACGGGAAGTGTCGTACTGGCTCCAAGGCTAAGTAAAGCTGCTAATACTGCCGGGAAACATTCGATGGAGACATACGTGGAAATGGTGAAGCAGGAAAGAACAATGTTGAGAATGTTTCACTACTTCGTCTTCATTTCTGATCCTCACAAGAAGCCGTCAGAGTGGAAGGAACCATTCTTCGACAACCTTTCTGATTTGTTCGCTAGGTATTCTGATCATGGATTGACATCGGAGAGGTGGATCGACCAGCGACGGCATTTCAAAGAAACGAGTTGGGTGCGGTCATTTCCGGCTACACTTGGAGGCGAGGATGAGAAAGGAGAGGAGGACTTCAAGAAAACAAAATCGCTTGCAAATAAATGCCCCGAAGAGTTCATTCAATTTGTCAACAAGTTGTTGCGTAGATCTGAAACTGGGGGTTCGCATAGCATTCGTATGTCGGGACAAGCGAGATACATACATTTCCAGAAACAGGACGTGACATCTGTATTCGTCCCGTTCCAGTGGAAACCGAGCGATGTTTCAGACGAGATGGATTGCAAGGAGATGTTTAGAGCCGTCAGACACCTGACGTGCCACACGGCCGTCCTGGATTTGTGCCGCCCGACCCAGATGGGTGCGTGGACTGAACAAGTGTTTGTTGGACTCAAGAAGTTTATGAACAAACTTGGCGGCGAGTATTGGACATTGTTGTGCTTCGTTCCACGCCCTTGCGAGTTCACATTCTTGAGGCGAGTTGCGATGTGGGACATTCAATTGGATCTTCTCAAATGGACTCGTCTACAACAAATAAAGGGGAAAGTGTATAAGGTTGCAAACTTGCCTTTGGAGGACACAAACAGAATGGTGGTCATCATGTACTCCAACGACGGGGATTTTCATCGCAACACTATTCCCTTGTTTGAAGATATTCAAGCTGCAGGTCCATCATCTGCCGAGCGGGTGGCTAACATATCGACACTTGTGCGGAGAGAGAGAAAGCCGAAGATGTTGACTAATGTCGTGGAGAAGAACTTTCTACCATTAAAGTGGAAAATGGCAGGTATGGATCCACCGGAGAAAGTGGTCTATGATGGTATGGAAAGGGAGCCGAATGCGATGGTGGAGACATTGGAGCATTTTTGTCCTGCGGATGAGACTGTCGTTTTCCTCGGGAAAGGTCATGCGGGATTGGTTTGGGAGCTGTTAAAGAGTCACCGTCATTGCATTGTGCTGGAAGGGGAGGGTATGAAGTTCGAGTTCCTCATTCAGTTCATTGACAAAATGGTCAAAACTCGGGATTACCACGCCAACTTTACTAAGCCGCCTCCTCGACATGATGAAGGGCGTGATCTCGTCTACAAGGTTGGCCAAAACGTGGTCAATATTTGAGAGTTTATCTTCGAAACAAAGCCGCAAGACAGAGGGGAACGTACTTATGTCCTCAGAAGAAGAAAAGTGGAGAAGCTCTTGAGGGGTTATCAAAAAGCACCATCGGAGAAGGAGGTTTCATTTCTCGACCGCTTGGAGACCATGTACTTCGACCAACAAATCGGGGCGTTTACAGTCGCAGGTTATGCGACTTGTTTTGTGGATGGTGAGGACTTTGATACCGACGACTCAGAAGAAGAGAGTGGTGATGGCACTTTGCAAGCGGCTTAGGCAGCTGAGAGGCAAAGAGCTTGTAGCCCGGGTTCGCAAAGAATGGGTGTTCCAGGCACATCCTACGGTTCTGCAGGAACTTCGAGCATGGCGGTTTCAACGGGTCAGTTAATGACTCAACCGCCAACTTCTTCTATTGTTACGCCGACTCAGATGGCGAGCAATACGATGACGGTGGCATCCGGAGGCAGTCTGGATCCGAGTGTTCTAGCAATACTCTCCCCAGAGTTGGTGGCAACTCTAGCACCATTTGCACACAGCCCAAGTACTATTATGGAATTGCTACGCTCTTGAACTCCACAACAACCTCCACCTGATGAGCCTTTGGAGTACGAGATTGAAGACACAATCCCTGCAGACATTCGACTGCTTCCGGGGCCTATAGTGTGCCAAGATGATGCCACATGGGGTCATCACATTATATGGCACCCCCAACACTTCCAACCTGCATTGGCGAGAGGGAGGTGGGTTATAGCTATGAAAAAAGAAGGGGAGTGGCAGTTTTGCCTCCACAGACGTATGTCAGGATCGAACTTTCTAAAACATGCAAAAAATCAGATTGCCAAGCGACTCCAGCGTCTTAATCCGGAGGTTTCTCAATCAAGACTAGATGAAAGAACAGAAGAAATTTTCCAAGAGTTCAAAACATCGCAGTGGTTTGAGTATCTGGAAGAGTTCTATGATAGACAAACCAGCCCGGCTTATGGATATTATTGGCATGTCAGAGAAGATCTTGGGGAGAGGAAAAAATCAGGCGGCGGTGGTGACCATGGCAAGGGATCCGGATCGAGCGAAGGTGCGCATGGCAAAGGATTGCGATCGGGGAGCGGTGCAAGTGACAAGGGTACGGAATCGAATGACGGTGCAAGCGGCAAGGACGCAAGTCGTGGGGAACGGCAGCAAACCGAAAAGTCTAAGGGACGTCAAGCAACAGAAGGCAAGGGATCAACACCAAGCGGCGGTGGGCATGGCAAACCTACAGGACCAAACGGCGGTGGTTCAATTGTCGAAGGGTCTCAGGGGCCTCAAGAGACAGAGCGCAAGGGATCAGGATCGAGTGGTGGTTCAACTGTCGAAGGGTCCCACGGTCGAGTTGAATACGACAGTGGCCTCGCATTGGAGCGTTCCCGGCTTGACCGAGCGAAGAGTCACACGGTCGAGTCGAACCCGACAGTGGGATCGGAAACGATCGCCGGTGCGACTGGCAAGGCTTCRGGACCTCGATCGGAAACGATGGCCGGTGCGACTGGCAAGGCTTCGGGACCACGGGGGGGCAGTACAACTATCGGCGGTGCTTCACCTGTCAAAGAGTCACGCGGTCGTGTCGAAYACGACACTCGTCCAGCAGTCACTGTCGAGTCGAACCCGACAGTGGGAACGGGATCAATCGCCGGTACAAGTGGCAAGGCTTCGAGACCAATCGACGTTGTTTCACCTGTCGAAGGGTCACACGGTYGAGTCGAACACGACAGGGGTCCACTATTGGAGCGCTCCCAGCTTGACCGAGCGGAGAAACTCGTGGTTGAGTCAAACCCGACACAGCAACGGGGATCGATTGCCGGTATGAGTGCCAAAACTTCGGGACGAAAAGGCGGTGTGAGTTGCGAGGGCGTGAGTACAGCTGACCAAGTTTGGGCGACTACAATACTAGTGGGCGACAGTGTCGCGATGGAAGTGGATATTACTGGTACACTCGCGGAATTGCAGATGCCGTCGTCAACGATGAAGGCCGAAGTAAGCGGCACTTTCCAGGACACGTTTGAGGGCGTAAAGGAGGAAGAAACTCTCCATGTACAGGGCATCGAAGAGGATGAAGGACATATAGTCCTTAGTACACTGGAGCAAGCTGTACTTGTACAACCTCAACAAACGCTTGAACAACCTCAAACACCACAGTCTGCTAACCTCATGATAGCTATCGAGGAATCTCCTATTGCGCCATTGCATATGGAAGGTGTGACAGAAGGTCGTGTTGAAGAAAAACTGAGAGTTAGCCATCGAGGTGAGCACTTTCTTATCTTAGGAGCAATAAGACTTGACCCGAACTTTATCCCCGATTTTAAATGTTGACATCCATTCGTATTTGTTCTTAGATGCTATCATCATAGAATTATGAGCTTTCTGAATATGCTCTATTGTCTCCTGCAGTAAATTTTCATTCTTCACTCCATACTTCATGTTACCTGATGCTTTTTTTTTTTTTTTTTTTTTTTTTTTTTTTTTTTTTTTTTTTTTTTTTTTTTTTTTTTTTTTTTTTTTTTTTTTTTTTTTTTTTTTTTTTTTTTTTTTTTTTTTTTTTTTTTTTTTTTTTTTTTTTTTTTTTTGTTACCTCGTGCTTCTTTACACTCAAGAAACAAGAAATCCAACACTATCCTATATCCCATCCTAAATGCAGCTGATTGGGTGTCCGACCAATGGCTGAATGCACACCATTATTGTACAGACTGGCTACTAGAGGCAGCTGCTCATCCTAATCAATCTGATTGGGATTGATCATTGATATAATGTCTTAAGAGTTGCTATACAACAAGTTCATTTGTTCATCTTGTCTGTTCGTTTCAGCATGGTCCCCAAAATTCAATTGTCGTTCAAATCCCGTCTGTTGTGCTGTCCTCTGCCATAGTTCACCAGTAAATCGCACACTTCTATCGCTCACTATAGTCTACAATTACAAATATCTGCCTATTCCCCTGTACTGCTGGTCACAAAAGTGTCCATAAAGTCCATGGACAAAGAATGAACTAGCGCACATACAACAACAAGAGTCTGCCAACTTCCGGAGATTGTACTTCTTCAAAAGGACTATGCTTCCCTCAAGCTGTTCATACTTCATAGTTTTCTTATCCCAGTCAAATTGGTGCTTAGCAACCTCCAAGTAGTACATCCCTGGAATCATGCTCTTTGTCACTTGCTAGGAAAGACAATTTGTGTCGTATCTTCTCTTCCATAGGAGAAGGTGCATACAACATGCTTGATGCATTCTTGCACCATTATCTTCTGCTTGTTGGCTAGAGTAGATACTACAGGTCTACTTAACCATTGCACTTGGCTCCCCTAAGCGCAGACTGTCAACACAAGCACCATTGATATAATTACAAGTGTGGAACCAATGTTTGCTAGTGCCCCGACTCTATGGCCACCTACATTGACTTCCACTACAATAAGCTCGCCTTTTGGACCCTCTGCCATTGTCACCCACAAACCAATTAATCCGAGGTCATTCTAACTCCTCTAAGGATTACATCATGTTGCAAGAACAGAGCCTGTCCTGGTCAGACTGTAACTGAGGGGTGATAGAAAGGTCAATAATAGCCTTAGCCATCCTATTCTGAGAGGTTTGAGGGAGTGTCAAGCCCAGTCGGGACTATTTCACCTACCTCTATGGACTCTTTGGAAGGGATTACACGTTCTATTGGTTCATCTGGTTTCTCGACCTTGCCTTGGGACAACACTTCTTAAACCACCAGTACTTGGCCCATATATCGGGCGCGGGCCTTAGCGTTAACGCTACGCGAAGTTCGCGCTTCGGGCAACCGGACCTGGTAGGCTGGCGCCGCCAGCCTTTCCGAAAACCAAAATCGAATTGGCGTTTCGGCGGGAAACGGCGCGCAGGGCACTTCCAGGCTCGGCTGCGATAGCTGGGCCAAGTACTGGTGGTTTAATATGGCTTGTCTGGCCACATTGGATGCACATACGTATCTCTTTTCAAATCCCTCTCTAACCCATAGAGTTCTCTAGAGGGCTTGCTCTTCCCTTGACCTTTTGCTGACCGTTTTGAAGGGCTAAAGAGCCGTAGGTCCTCCCTCCTTAGCAACTACCTCGCTGTTTTCTCTTTGCTCTGTGTCGTCCAGTGGGGTGGGGTGGATATCACAACCGGTATGGTTCCACTTTCGAACACCGTGTCCTGACTGTAGTGGTTAAATCACCAGTACTTGGCCCAGCTATCGGCCGTGGAAAAAAATAGAGTAGAAACGTTTCTAGTTGGATGAATTTGGACGCTCCTGTAGTGGCCTGTACGTTTCCTAAAATCATGGCGGGCATGACTTTAGGAAGTACTGGTGGTTTAAGATACCTGGCTCTTGAGGCTGAGGTCGCCGGTTCGAATCCGTGCTTGTACGGTCGAGGACGCCGGGCTCATGCGGTAGCGCCATCCTGTAACCTCAGCTGTGGGGGAGCTAGATGTGCAGATTCACTTGGCTGCTGTGGAAGCACCCATTAACCGCAGGGTGAGCCCGTGTAGGTGGACGGGAGGGAGTACCAGTGGTGAGGATTTGTGCTGGTTGGCGAGGTGAGGTTTGCGAGAATTGCCATGTCTGTGAGGTGTTGTGTGGTGTGTGTGTTGCGTTGGACACTACAGCCTTGCAGGGGTGGGGTGGATATCACGACCGGTATGGTTCCACTTTTGAACATTGTGTCCTGGCTTTAGTGGTTAAGACACCTGGCTCTTGAGGACGAGGCTGCCAGTTCGAATCCGTGCTTGCACGGTGGAGGACGTCGGCTCATGCTGGGATGGGCAGTGCCATCCTGTAACCTCAGCTGTGGGGGAGCTAGATGTGCAGATTCACTTAACTGCTGCTTAGCTGCAGCTGCAGGGCTGGAACTTCATCCACCTCCTCCTGGTTTCCGTCCTCATCGATGTAGAGAAGGTAACCATTCTTTTTCCAGTCCTGGGCTAGTCTCTTCTTCACTCCTACCGACCCTCCCTGCACCACACTAGCATTCCTCAACTTTGCCTCTGGGCTAGTCTCTTCTTCACTCCTACCGACCCTCCCTGCACCATGCTAGCATTCCTCACTTTTGCCTCTAAGTATAGGGCCATTTTGCTGAGGGATGTGAAGCTGTTCCTAGAGGCAGTGTCCTCATTGACTAGCAGACCCTTGATATGATCCGGAATGCATCTAAGATAACTAGCAAGTAGGATCTCCGCATCATACCGCACTCCAGGCACCATGATCAGTTCTTCCACCTTCTTTGTGACAGTCTTGACATCCCTATACTTACAAGCATTAAAAGCATACTTGCAAGCGGACGCCGTCCGGGCCGTTCCACACGTGCGGCAGACCGCCGGACCGGACCCGCGCGGCGCACGAATGTGCGCCCGACGACCAGTTACGCCCCACCCCCAAAAAAAATAAAAAAAAATGGCCCTGTCCGGTCCGGTCCGGGTCCGTCTGGTCCGGGGGAAGGGTGCCGCACGCGGCAAAGCGGACCGGGCCAGACGCTCGTCCGGTCCATCTGCTTGCAAGTATGATTAAGAGTCTTAGCTGTCCGTAGCCCTTTGGGCTTGCTGTCTATTGTGCCACCTCGCCTCTACAAGCACCTGAACTGATCCAATGTGACGCAAGCGGCCCATGCTGTCATGTCACGCCATAGCCTGCCTCTGCTATCATGCCATCTAGCCATCTAGCAGCAGAGCCCTGCAAAAAGGATGCTGCAACTATAACTTCATAGTCTACGCGGGTGTCCTTCATCCTCACAAACATTGGCATAGATCTAAGCCATGTGTCCAGTTTCTCGTCTTTCTTGCCCCCTGTAACCACAGCAGGCTGTACCATAGATATCTTTGCTAAGGCTGGAGGCTGTGACAGTCCTACAGGCCCTGTAGGAGACGACACTTGTGCCTGCACTGTAGCTGCAGACACTGCAATTGAAAGCGATTGCACCTGTGTCCCAGATGGACCTGCACCTAAACCACCAGGTAGCTGAAGTATACCGTATTGAGGAACAAACTGCCCTGATACTGGCGACAAGACCACGGGCTGTGGCCCTGGAGGTCCGGGAGTAGTGCTGTAGGGAACTGGTTTCCCTTTCGTCATGTACGACATTATCATCGTTAGCTGATTCAGAGAAGCCTGCATGGAGTCTAACTTGCGTTCTACAGATTGTACTGCCTCATGGAGGCCCAAACCATTCAATCTCAGCAATTGGTCTGTCGGCCGCAGACTGCTCTCATCCAAAGCTTCTCCCTCCTCTCTCTTTGCCTGTCTGCTCTCCATTACGATTCTTTTACTTAGTGCTATCTTTTTCTGGTATCTGAACCTCTCGGTAATCAGCTTCAATAATCAGCTTCTACTTGTGCATGCCGTGCAGCAGCATCTCGATATGCCTGCTGCTCTCGAGTGAGCACTTGAGGCTGGCTTGACTACACGGCCGCCGTCTGACTACCGTCTTCACCCCAATAGAACGCCCGATCATTATCGCTGCATCTGGACCGAATGTTGCGCTAAATACAGCTATAATGACCGGGCGTTCTATTCGGGTGAAGACGGTAAGGTGCGACCCTACAGAGAGACTTGAAGTACACAGCCCAGCACCCTGACCCTGACTTGATCCACCGCTCCGTCCTGAGGCCTGTGTGGCCATAGCTGCTAACGCCCATTCTGCTTGTTCAGCGGAACTTACAGCAGCCTGCCTCCTCATGGCAGCCTCTCTCCTAAGCAAATAGTTTCCATTCGAGAGTCTAATGCTTGGAAAACATAAGGTAAGATTTGAGCATTAGATTAAATGGCAGCCTCTCAAATCTTACCTTATGGCAGACTCTTCTCTACCTGTCACTCGCCCGGGGGTCCCCGTTAACCATTAAATGAAATGCTTCCTCTTTCTCACGGTCCCTACCGCTCACGCGAGAAGAAACAACTACTACCTGCACTAGAACTGCCTGTTCTCTGTCCTGCCCTAATAATACCAGGCTGACATTATCAGGGCTCACCCAGCGGTGGTACAGACACGCTCTAACCTACCACAGATTACAAATACTGTCTAATGACTCTAATCACTTCTGAAATTGACAGTGCAACTACACCCGAACGGACTAAGTAGATTTTTCTGATGCGGTGGTACACCGTCAATGAGGAGAAGCAGTCTGTCCCGCAACTAGTCAAACAGAAAATGCAAACTGCTACCTTAAAGGATATATCACATGCAGAAATTAAAAAAAAAAAACTGCACGAGCGATATAACAGCTACTGCTTGTTTATCTAATGTTTCTTGACATCTCAGGGGGGCGCAGCGCGTCCGGGGGCGCTGCGCCCCGTCGACATGATCTCACCGAGGAGCGATGGAGAAGTGGGAAGGCGCGGTGCGGTCATGACAAGTGTAGCTGCGCGGTGACGTGTGGCAACGTTGGGCATCGCGGTGCGTTGGCAGTGCTGCTGTGGGGTGTTGCG